CCTGCTGGATATGTCGTGAAGGCATAAAGCTAGATCTACGTACGATTTGGTCCGATCTTCCGTAAATCCGATTTTCGAAAATATTTAAACAATCCGTTAATATGGCCGAGCTGATCACCATAATCGTAATGCAATTTAAAGTGAAACTGTAGAAGACGTTAGTATTCAATCCAAGATTAAAAAGACATTGGTAAGTACAATATTGTACATACTGATTCCAAATCGCATGATTGGAAGTATATTGTACTATAATATATATAATTGTACTCCTAAGAATATTATATTCTTTTTTTCTCTCTCTTTCTTCAATATCCTTATTAAATTATTTCTTTCTTTTTAATTTAGCGAAAATTCTAACTATGGACTAATATAGTCTTATTTGTACTCTTACTTTTCTAGACAGAGTAGAGGAGCGTTATTGTATTAATTTAATAATACAAAGTACATCAATTTTTGTTTATTTATTGCACTATATATCGTTAATGGAAATATTTGAGAGGAATAATTGCGCCACTTCCCGTTTAAGCTTGCGACTTTACCGATCGCATGCGGTCGTAGAAAAATATAGGAACGATGGGGAAGTGACTTAAATCAACGCTCGCGTAAAACGACACACGAGCGGATACGCGTCGTCTCGCAAATTTTTGATCTACAATTCTTTACGTCGTACACAGTGGTAACGTTCATGGTAGCTTACCTTCCCTGATGCAGCCCATTGAGACTAATTAACGATTCTTGTAGACAAGCGCTGCACATAACTCGACAAAACTTTTCGCGCGATAACCAGAATACACACAGACTAGTGTAAGTACTATTGCTCGAGCAGAGAGATTTGCTCGTGCGCTTCACCGTCGGAAATGCTGAACGTTTCAATTCTCCTGCCGGGATGGGTTATCTTCTTTTGTCATAGTTTCGTATGCTTAACACTGTCCGTCCAGTAATTCTGTATTGTCATCGCTTCCAGCGAATTTAGGAACGAGTCATTATCCAAACTGTACATTTCCTCCGAGTTATCCTATGAAAATGAAAGATATCTTTTTTAGTAGATCCGCGCGAAAATTGTATTACTTATCTAGTGAAATGAAACTTTATGAAGAAAAACGTTATGATGTTAGAAGTGTATTCCTGAATCTTATTTAAAGTATAAACACGTGCATTTCACTAAATTATTTTCACTAGACGCACTAGAAGAATTATCCTATATGTATAATATAATTATTGATCTCTTCATTATTAAAGAATTATCTATATACATATATATAATAATACTAACGCGAATGGTGGAATCGTCGATGTAACCGGAACTATCGGGATTGCTGCATTTATCACTGTTCAATGTTTGCGGGGGATTCAAGTACTTGCGCCTGAAAAGAGAGCAAAACAAATCAATGCATTACACGCGAACCCAGGCGTGTAACCTAATGGATATAATTAAAAGCACATTATAAGACTTTGTTACCTGTATATAATAAACCCAAGACTACCCATTGTACTGAGCAGAGCCACGGTCGCCAAACAACTGCCCGTTATAGCGGCTATACCCGCGGCAGATGTCCCCGAGCTTTGTTGTTCGGCCTTGTTGCCGTTATCGGTATCGGTATAATCGGAAGACCGATTGTCTCCCTGCATTTGATCCCTCTGTAAGTGTTGTGTGAAAGAGTTCCTCGCTCTGCTCAGACGAGTTTCGCTCACGCCAACTGCACATTTGTTTTTTTTTTTCTTTTTTAAATTATGATTTTCAAAACACTCAAGTTTTTTGTATTCGCTAAATGCTAACTAAAATATAACTAAAAAACTACAACTGTCTTGTATCTAGTCATTTCTATCGTACGATAAATAAAAAGATGAATTAAATTTAAGTTGAAAAGTGGAGCAGAATTAGCAAGTATGAAAAAGGAGGCTAATGAAGGCATTGTGAAAATCAACGTGAATTAAAATACAATACTAATCTTTTATCTCTCGCGCAAGCTAACGTCATGACTGTTAATTGCCCACGAAATTATTCTCTCATTGCTTTATATAATTCTTCCGAAGAGTTCACCTTCAAGAATAGACGCCGCTGTGGCAAAGTGTTGCGTCTGGGCCACCTCCTCGTCGATTTCGACCTCGTCCTCGGACTGATTGAACGTCCTGATCGCGGCGTTACCGACAACACCGGCTGCGGATAAAGACGTTAGAGAAGACCTTGTCCTGTTTAGCGACAAGTCGGCCTTGTTCATCTCCTCTTGGAGAGGTAACACGGTGAGATCCTCGATCTCGTCAAAGCTGTTGTTTCTACCGGCGCCGCTCGACTGATTGTACCTCTCCTCCTGATCGTATTTGGGTCTACCCGACGACTTGCTTGTCGTCAAAATCCACGTGACCTTACTGTCCTTCTTCGTGGTTGGATTCCTGATCCTCTCGATGATGTGCTGCGCCGGTGTCGTTACACCAAGCGGTATAACGTCGGAGATATTCCCGTGGAAGCTCGACTCGTTGACAGCCTCGTGACCGGTCGCTCCGAGACCGGTACTCCCACGCGGCTCCAACAGTGACGAAATGACAGTAGTGACGGGTTGCTGCCTATCAGCCACCACGGCCGTGTTCGTCTGGGGATAAAGCCCAATGGCCTTGGCGATGCGAAAACTTGGCCTAGGTGACTTCGACGAGCGATAGATATCCTCGGTCTCGATCGACGGGGATGTCGTTCTCGGGGATGGCTGAGGCTGCTGATTGACGGGATCCGACGTGGTAGACGGCAAGGTATTCCCGAGAATAACTGTCATCAAAGAAATAGATATATTGATATTTGTATAACAATTTTTCATCTATGAAATTTTAAAAATCAAGTTTTTTCTCAAAAATTCGGCTAAACTTATTTTAAACGTTTCTTATTAATTTTTGACATATTAAGAATATCTTAATGATTAAAACATTTATATTTAATTATATGAAAATTATTTAAAATATATTATAGTTAATCATAATTGAATCTTAATAATTGAAATTATCTTCGTGAATTATTTGATTGCATAAAGCGATTTAATTAAAAGAGAAGATACTGTCTGAATTCTTCTATCAAGCTAACGGAAGATATACAATAAAAAAAAAAATAAAAAAAAAGATTATTTGCATTAAAACGCTTACCATGTTAAAATATTCGACAAAAAACCTGATAGAATGACTCACCAAGAAATTGCGCGGTAATCCAGAACCAATGCATCCACCAATGTAGCGTCATCGCGTCATCTGGATGTATCTGAAAACACGAATGCATCTTTACATAAAATGAACCAACGTGCAACAAACGCGCAGAATGATCGATCGTCGCATTATACAACTAGTTCAAGTATATTAAAATGCTATTTAGGTTCGAACGAACGAATGAATAGTTAATGTTGGTCAGTTTATCAAAGAGAAGGTTAAAAATTACGGTGAGTAATCCGCGTGTTGCTCAATCGTGAGATCTATGACTCATTCCGGCGCGGGAGGAATTTTAGGATCGGCAGCTCCCGGTTCCAGGAATATTATTACGAAATAACTCGATAAAATCATAAAAGATTCTCTATTTATAGAATATTAATAATCTGTAGTAATTTTAAATTAAAGATAGATTTCGGGCATATATTTGTGCACCGAGGCTTCGTGCGGCGTAAAATATTGGGGAAAGAAAAGACACGTTGAACAACAGGATACAGTGCGACGGTCATGCTCTGTTGACTGCAACCAGTTGCAACTCGCGACGTGACGCGAATTGTATTTCATGGCATTACTTAAGGATCGATCGTCGTGACTTTTCAATTTTATTATCCGACGAAAGAGAAATTTCCTCGATAGAATAATCGCGAGTAAAAGATTCTATCGAAACATTCATAGAAAATCAATGATGAGAAATCAAAAATGAAATTCAAAAATCTGAGATCGATTTAAGAGATAATAAAAAAGCTTTGTTATCTATACTTGAACACATGCGCGTCCGAGTGTATTGAATCTTTTAATTTTTAATATTACACACAAATTTGTAATTATAATTTTAAACTTTCGAAAGAACAATCGTATATGTGTATAAAGGAAGTTGGAGAGTTGGAGGCAACTCTTATGAAACGTCGCGTATAAATATAAATTGCTGTTCTTCTGTGTACGTCAGATGCTGTTTTAAACACAAAAGGTTTTTAATTCAAAATACACGCTGCAGACATTCTATTTTCATGCATTTTTCCGCCAACGATAAAATCAATGGATTCAGTTTATAAAAATCGCTACCTTCCGATATAGTATTCATGTACCTTATCTCTCCCCCTTCAATGCTCTTCATTCATATCTCAATAAATATAGA